TTTTACAATTTTTTACTAATACTATAACTACTATTATTTTGAAATTGGAGATGCACTGATCCAGCTTTTTCAGTTTCGATACCGATCCCAATGCTGTGGCTTTGAGTATCAGCAGATACCTGATACCGATCCGATACCATGGTTGACCTAAAAAGCTATATACCTTTACATGTAGAACAGAAAAGACTAGAGGCATCAGGCATTGATGACTACACAGTTCTTTCCTAAGATAAAATGAAACAAGATGAAACAGATTAATGCAACAATGAACTATTTATTTTTAACAAAAATAAACAATTGTGCAACAGCAGCTGAAATACCTCCACACAGCAGATTCTCTCCTTCACTCCATGACATATGACGTAGCTCGCGTCACAATAGCTTTATAGGGAAAGGATCGCCTCAGGTATAGGTTGCATTGTCCGATACCCGATCCAACTATTTTGATGATATTGGGGCCAATATTCGATCCAGATATTGGATCGGTGCATCCCTATTTGAAATATTACATAAGGCCACAACAACATAACAACAACACAGCCTACTAAATAATAGAGAGACTTTTTTTCTGGGTTAGTTATCCAGCGTCACATAAACCCAGAAACACACTGTATCGTTATAATATCAAAACAACAAAAGTTCTCTGGTGCCCACATAGCGACCACTACACCACTGGGAGGAGGGTATGTGGAAAGACAGAAAATGAAAAAAAAGAGTTTGTGTTGAAATCAGCAGGAGGAGAGCTTGTTATCGTTACCTCTAAGCAGCCAGTGGCCGCAATGAACAGCCTGGAGGTTGCATGTATTTACAGTGTGAGGTGTTCAAGCTCTATTCAGTAAAAATTAAAGTTACAATGTGTAATTTACGTGGTTGTTTATTAGCAAATATCAACTATTGCTTTCATAAATATATATTTACTAAAGTGTAATGCAATTCACATACAAATGGAAGCTTTCTCGTAGGCTTAGAATGATTTCTCTATATATACACAGGCAGGGCGCGGTCTGCTGCAGGCTGCCTTCTTACATTGCCATATTTGAATACAGTGGCCGAAAGAGATATACGCGCTTCGCCTTTCGCATTTACCTAGAACTTGCCGTCACTGGAGACAGAGAAGGTGAAGCTCAATCCGGGGCGCTTCTGCGTGAACCTGCTTTTTACTTTTATGATTCTGTCGCACCTTAAATGGAGGACCACACACATGTTTTGCCCTGTAAGAGGGAAACCACGCCACCAAATGAAAGAAAAAGATCAGATAAGCGAGGACTGGACAAAACGTGAGTGAATATTGGCGTTGCTTATTCCTGTTGTTAAAAACTCCTGTGGAAGAACACTCTGGAGACGCATATATTATAATCGTACCAACCTATATTTGCTGCACTGTGCCGTGACTATCACATAAACGTGTTATTTTAGCATTACTGTGCTAATGTTTGCTCGTGTTACCAAAACAATTAGAGATAAAACACTCTTAACTTAACACAGATAACCTATATTTCACTGGTAAGCTATAACACATTGTAGCGTCTGCCAGGACGTGTGGAAAGGATGACGCAGTTATTCGGCAAACCACCGTTTATTACTTAACAGTACAGGTTACTGTTGGCTGTAACTACGCCAAAACAACCAACAAACAAGAACTTAGCTGTAACTCCAACTGTGCACTTCTGCTCTCTCCTCCAGCTCGCTCATACACACACCAGCACTCGCACTCACACAGCTCTCATCCCCTTTACACTCGCACCCCGCCCCCCTACCTATACTCATTCAATCCCAAACATGCCATTAACTCACAGAACATTGACATTATAACAGAACATTTACTGCAGGGTCGCTACAATATCGTAACATGGTTTAGATTCCTAAATAAATATTCACATCATCGCTAGATAGGCCTACTCCTGAAAAACTTGAAAAACTCGTGGATGATGCCATCTCTGTCTGCGCAAGGCTTTTTGTCCTACGAGGCCACTGTCACTTACCCGACGGGAGGGGTGAGCGAGTGAGCGCGAGTGAGCCCTGCAATCTAGAATTTGACCGCTGATGTCACTGTTACTCATCATTTTTACACACTGAAGCTTTAAGCTTGCCTAGGGCACCAAATGTGCTAGGGCCGCCACTGGCTCAGACCTCTACCTTCTCACATTGTTAACAAAAGTGAAAAGTAAGTTGTGTATCAGCCCTGGGATTCGGATTGGCCCATGCTACACCCTTTCAACAAGTTTCATGACTATTGGGCCACTGGTTTTTCCTAATCCTTTTGACAAACAAACAAACAAACTGAACCGAACACATAACCTCCTTGGTGAAGGTAAGCAGAGGCAAAAATAAAGATAAATCAGCACTGATTTTGCTTTGATTTTGACCCTTCTTTTGAGAAAATGTGTCTATTATGAGTTCCCCCAGCTTTATGAAAGTTTAGTACTTAATGACTGGAGTACCCCTTTAATTCACATTAATCTGTAAAAGGGAATTCTTTTTGTTTTAGTTTGGTGATACAACTTTGTGTGAAGAAATCACTAACATGGGGCTATTTGATATATAACTTTGAAATTAAACAGTACACTGTTAGAACTACTGTACTGTCCAGTACAGTACAGTCCAGTATACAGTACAGTACAGTACAGCACAGCGTGTCCTCTGGTCTGATGACTGAGTTTGTTAATATCTGATGGGAAACGGGAGCGTTTTCAGATGTTTGTTTTGTTCTTCCTTGTTCCTCCTTCATGCACCGCTGGAGGGTGTCCAGCTGTTCCAGCTGTTTGAGGAGCACACTGTTGATGTCATTTGTTGAGTTCTAACATTGGTATCTTACTGGAAATCCTTTCACACGTCTCCAGCTTCATGTCAAACCAGATAAACGTTGATGTGGTGTGAATTACAGCTTGTGAATCTCCTCAGGTTTCTTCATTTTCGAACAGCTGCTTTGTCGTCAAAGCTGTTTGTTCTCGTCTCTGTACGCTTCAGGAATTTAAATCTTACACAATCCACTTTACACACTTCTCAGACACATTAACCACCAGCCACTGTGAGCAATGATGATTTTAGGAGAATATGATCGCTCTGAGAGACTATATTCCAATTCTGTTCCTATAAAACCAGCAGTAAACCTGCTCAGTCACACTGTTATGATGAAATACCGGTGCGAGGATTGTAAAAGCTGGCGATGCCTCTGAAATCAGAAGCTGTGTTCTAGACATACCTCAGTTGCTTTTTGGTGTTTAGAGTAGAAAGTCATTTGTTTGTCGTGTAGCCTACACCGACTTTCTGGACCTGACGTCACACAGTAGTGTACAGTAGAAGAAATGTAACAGACTGCAAATAAAGAGCAGAAAACCCAACAATGGCCAACAGCAAATACATCCACTCTCAGCTCGACCAGTGATTTAGAGTTTTTGTTAGTTCACTAACGTATGAAAGCCTGAACATGCAGAGCTTTAAAAGTGACCACAAGCATCTTGAACTGGATTCAGAATTTGATGAGAAGCAGAGAGAGACAAATCAAGAGATGTGTCACATGGGAGCTTTTAAGAGACTTGATCAAAAGACTTTCAGCGGCACTGTGGAACACTGCTGACTTGCTTTGGTTTAGTTTGGTTTGGTTTATTTGCAGCAATTTGGTGTATTTATAAAATCCAACATATCAGACATTGTGTGCGATAGAGTAATAAAGTCCTCGACTTAAAATACCTCTGAGACTTCACCTGTCAAGGAACAGACTTGCCCAGCTGTTTCCTGAATTTGATCCAACCTGTCAGATCTTTTCCACTCATTTTGACCATGCCCAATGATGGGACAATTTTAGGGCAAGATTTCTGAGACATTTTTGTGCATGTGTAATAAAACCATAGACCCAGAGCCACAGTTGGCAATATTTGGTGTGGCCCAAAGAGATCTGGGTCTCTCCCGAGCCCAGACCCATGCTTTGGCCTTTTCATCATTGTTAGCAAGACGTCTCATTCTTTACAGCTGGAAGTCTAACCCGTCCCCTCTGTTTTAACGCTGGGTCAATGATGTCATGGCTCACTTGGAGTTGGAAAAGCTCAGACATACCACTCAAGGTCCGTCACTGAATTCCATAAAGTGTGGCAACCATTTCTGGACTATTTTAATAATGTCTATGCTTCAAGACATGTGATTTATTGTCTATGGAAATGTAAGTCTTGGGGAGGGGCGGGTTTGGATGTTGTGGGTTCAGAGCGAATATGCTCCATGTTTCTTGTTTCTTGGTTTTTCTAAAAAGAAACAATAATAAACTTATTAATGTTGTTTATCATGTCGTTGCCAAAGACCCACCAACTTTCAGTAAGCAGGAGACCAAAGAATAATAAAAACAAAAAACGGGAAAACTTTACCCATAACAGCAGAAAATACATAAAAATTTCAGTCTGGTAAGAACGTATCCCAGACGCCGCAAATTCACATTATAAAACAAAAGTTGCATGACTTATGATTTCTTTCACCGAAGACAAAGTCCATCTGGATTTGATAAGAGTGTTGAAGTTTTTGGGAGGCAGAAATCACTTTATTTATGGTGTGAACATCAGTGAGTGCAAGAGTAAAACATGCAGTGAGATATCAGTGTTACGCGATCCTGCAGCCATCATCTGTTCTATATCATGTATCCTTCAGGCTTTTATTGCAAAATATTTTTACAAGACCTTCAGTCCTCTCTAACGCTCCTCCATGTAACGGGACAGAGATACGTTCGCCAGTTGTCTGTCACAGAGGGATATACCCTACTAAAGTTCACCGTCGTCAGCAGAATATTTATAACCCACTCACAAAAAAAATCCACATTCAACACAGCAGTGACAAGTGGGCTTAACTGGAAAATCAATGCCTGAGTGAAAATACAAATTATCTGTCATCACACCAGCAGCCTGTGCTCCAAAAATGAGGTTCTTAGGGGTTCATTTTAAAAGTGATTTAGCTTTTGATGATCACTAGCTCAGGTCACTGACTTGTCTTTTTGTTGGACTGTGAAACGCAGATGTGTATTTGTGCTGAACATTAAACTAAATGGTGACTAAAAGTCAGTAAACTCTTACACCACGTGAATGAAGCTGTTTAAGAGCCGACCTTTGTTACAGCAGCGCATACTGACATTTCCATAATCGCTGAATTACAGTTTTCATTCCAGGAAATGAGATGAAACATTGACCAAAGGATCAGTCAAACGCTCGCTCAGCAATTTGCCTACACACACAGAAAACACAAACACTGATATACAGTACAGGCCAAAAGTTTGGACACACCTTCTCATTCAATGCTTTTTCTTTATTTTCATGACTATTTACATTGTAGATTCTCACTGAAGGCATCAAAACTATGAATGAACACATGTGGAGTTATGTACTTAACAAAAAAAGGTGAAATAACTGAAAACATGTTTTATATTCTAGTTTCTTCAAAATAGCCACCCTTTGCTCTGATTACTGCTTTGCACACTCTTGGCATTCTCTCCATGAGCTTCAAGAGGTAGTCACCTGAAATGGTTTCCACTTCACAGGTGTGCCTTATCAGGGTTAATTAGTGGAATTTCTTGCTTTATCAATGGGGTTGGGACCATCAGTTGTGTTGTGCAGAAGTCAGGTTAATACACAGCCGACAGCCCTATTGGACAACTGTTAAAATTCATATTATGGCAATAACCAATCAGCTAACTAAAGAAAAACGAGTGGCCATCATTACTTTAGAGAAGGTGTGTCCAAACTTTTGGCCTGTACTGTACTTGTGCTGATTATCCATTTGCTCACACAAACATTATTGACACAGAGAACACATGTACTACTCTCTGTGCTAACACAGTGGCATTACAGTAAAAGACAGAAGTGTAAACATATTAAAAACATAAATATACATGTACTTAAGTCAGATCATGACACACAAACATAACTGAGACACAACTAACACAAATATACACAGACAAGCATATCCCTCCTCTTAGGCAGATTAATCCCCACAGTTTGACCCCTTTATCACTCCTCTTTGTGTTTCCCAGGAGGAACCAGGACACCCAGTGACACCACATCCCGTTTCCATGGAGAAGGGGTTCGCTACAAAGCCAAGCTGATAGGCGTGGACCCAGTACCCGATGCCCATGGGGAGAAGATGTGCTGGGACTCTATGATGAAGCTAAAGGTAGTCAGTCTGTCTCTTCATGGCCAAAACAAATGTACCGTCCGTCTCCTTTTAATCAGAGCTGGTTAAAAGTCAGTGACATGATCCTCTCGTCCTCCACAACCTCAGTCATTTTATCAGGACAGATAATTAAAGGTAAACATATCACTGATAACATATGACCAGTGAGATTAAAGTTGCCTATACTGAATGAGATCATTATGGAAATAGATGATGTTCTATTTCATACCAGTGGAATTAAAAAATTCCAGACACTTAACTAATGAAGGCTGCATTAAACAATCAGTCCATATGTTTATATCAACATATATATCCAAAGACAGTGTCTATAAAAAGTAGTTCAACCCAAAGTCAGTGAAAGCAGATTTGATGTGGCTTTTTAGATGCTGATCAGCAGAAAAGTAGCCTTTCATATGAAAGTGAGAATAGGTCTTCATAGGATGTATGATGGAGTTGACCAGTCCAGAGTCTAGATCTTGGTCCAGTCGAGCATTTGTGACCGGACTGAGGATCTACTGTAATGACTTAGAGAGATGTGATGTTGTGGCACGGTGGTTGAGTGGTTAGCATTGTCGCCTCACAGCAAGAGGGTTCCTGCTTCAAATCCATGGTGGGGGTTCGAACTCCAGGGTGGGAGTTTGCATGTTCTCCCTGTGTCAGCGTGGGTTTTCTCCAGATTATCCAGCTTCCTCCCACAAGACATGCTGGTTAATTGGTGACACTAATTGTCCGTGGGTGTGAGTGTGAATGGTTGTCTGTCTCTAAAAAAAAACTGTAAACAAACTGCATCATTGTACAAAACAAGAAAAACGTGGCTGACTCTGTTCAATTAGTTAGTTAGTTAGTCTTAGTTAGCCAATATCTGCCAATACAGATGACATACTGATATTATCAGTATGTTTTACTATCAGATATTAATATTTACTTTCAACATATTGTACCACAGTAGCCAGAACTATAATTCTAATATTATTACTTTCATTAATGTTGTTGTAAGCTACTGTCATTACTGTCTGTCCTGCATCTCTCTCTGTCTTTGTCTCTGTCTCTCTCTCTCTCTCTCTGTCTCATTGTGTCATATGGATTACTGTTAATTTATTATGCTGATCTGTTCTGTACGACATCTATTGCACATCTGTCCGTCCTGGAAGAGGGATCCCTCCTCAGTTGCTCTTCCTGAGGTTTCTACCGTTTTTTTCCCCGTTAAAGGTTTTTTTTAGGGGGGAGTTTTTCCTTATCCATTGCGAGGGTCATAAGGACAGAGGGATGTCGTATGCTGTAAAGCCCTGTGAGGCAAACTGTGATTTGTGATATTGGGCTTTATAAATAAAACTGATTGATTGATTGATTGATTGATTGATTGATTGATTGATTGATTGTTGGCCGATTCTCATATTTCATTTTAAAGCCTATATTGGCCAATACCGTTGACGTACCAATTTTATTGTGCATCCCTACTCAGTAAGTCTAAACCAAACTAGACTATAACTAAACTATCGACATAAAAATAGTTCTAAATGAGCATTCACAAATATGTTTTAGTTCAAGATGGCTCCTCTGCAGCGGGCTATTTATGATTATTTGGTACTAAAACATTGCAGCATTGGCAGTGAAAGCAAACAAATCTGTCCAAGCACTGTTAAATTCTACATTTCCCTCTGAGACTTTTATGGATTTGGATTACATTGCTAGCCTAGCTACGAGCTAGACTCAAGACTAGGCACTGCTCTTGGTTTGGCAAAATTTTGAGGAAAAGTTCACCAGGCCGTAGACATATGACGCACATTTTAGTGAAATTTTTTGTCAAAGCCACAGAGAACCACTGGAGAGGGGCTAATGAGCCACATGTGGCTCCAGAGTTACAGGTTGCCTTCCCCTGATCTAGGCAAACAAGGAGCGGCTATGGCTCAGGAGGTAAAGTGGGACGATTGGCTATTCAATCCCCAGCTCCTCCAGTCTGCATGTTAAAGTGTTCTTGGGTAAGATACTGAACCCCAGTTGCTTCCGATGGCTGTTCCATCAGTGTGTAGTAGCAGTGGCAGGTGGCACCTTGTATAATAGCCTTGGCCACCAGTGTGTGAATGTGAGCATGAATAGTTGAATGCGACTTGGTTGGAAGACTAGAAAGGCACAACACAAGTTCAAGTCCATGTACAAGTGTTGCAGGTTTCGTCATTTTAAGGTCAAGGCGTTTTCTATTTGAAACAGCAGGAAAGGCCAAAACTGCTTTTGATCTACTTGTTGATCTTTGAAAATGCCTCAGCGACTCTCCTCTTTATGGTCATCATCTCAAACCTGCCTCACATTAGACAAACAGTTGTGACTGACAGGTCACGTCTCAAGTTGCTGTAAATCTCTCCAAAGCAGAGGAGGACCAGACACATCTGCCAGAGCAAATAAAACACAAGCTTTCAGAGTCGTCTGGTTCCCAGGCTACTTTTTTGGTAGATCCATGTCAAAAAAGCCCCATGAAGTCTACTGTGATTGAATGTAAGACAGTGAAATACAGTCATTTCATAGGCACACCAGTACAAAAAAAATTTACCTCAGTATCAGGTACTTTTCTGGGAGTATAAACTACAGCATTTAAACTGAGTTCCTCAAATCAACAGATGTGGTCCACAGAGGCTGAAGACATGTCCAAAGAACGCTCCTAAAACCCAGATAGTACTGGAATATCTTACGTCTAACGCGGGATTAATACTGCTGTGCTGAATCGACGCTGTACCTATGGCGCAGGCTCTGCATCAATGTATAGCTTATGCCATACCTTACACTGTAGCCTGACATGCACCTCCCCAGAAATGTAACTACGCTTTGCCACGACAAAGACCTCCTGTCTATTTTTGTAAGCTGAAACCATTTCCTTCGGTGGAAACAAAGCTTCTTTTTTTTTTCACAGACAAGAATCAATAAATTGCGTAGACAATAAAGCCTCCACAAAATTGTGTTTTATGTCTTTAGTGAGATTTATCCTTTGGGAATTTATACTTTGGGATTTATCCTGGCTTCATATGAGCAGAGGAAATATCCGCTATTTGCTAGGTTAATTTATACAATGTAAAATACCATAGGCTTGTGCTAACAATGTTGGCATGTTATGTTTGTTTGAAAAATGTGTTTAGTATAAGATAGTTGTTTTGTCAGTGAACCTTGTTAGTTGTAACGGAGCCCAAATTTGTAATATTACCTTTTTTAAATGTTGCTGTTGTCTCTGGCCTCACGAGTAGAGAGAAGTTCGCTACTCTCTAGGCTAATTTATACAATGTAAAATGCTATAGGCTTGTGCTAAAAACATTAGCATGTTGTACAAAAAAATAGTAAATCCTTGTGCACAGCGGCGCAGTGCTTCTTCTAGGTGCCAGCTGGTGCAGGATAAATCACAGTCAAGAGTTCAAAAACTTCCAGCGCACACTAGAATATCAGGATTGACACAAAGTTTATTCAAAAATGTTTAACAACAAAAGGAGCGAACAACGCGTTTCGCTTGTTGCGTCATCAGATTCGCATATTCTAGTGTGCGCTGGAAGTTTTTGAACTCTTGATTAGCATGTTGTATTTGTGGGGAAAATGTGTCCAGATAAAGACACATGTTTGTCTGTGAATGCTGCGAGTCATAGTGAAGCCGATTTTTGTACTTATGTTTGAAATTGTCTCTATAGAGTGTGCCAGGGCTGACGTCAAAACCCGGAAGTTTAGCATCACGCTGGTTCCCGGAAGAGAAAGTGAATGTGATTTTTGTATTGCGTTTTGGATTATGTCAGAAAATAAGCTCTGTGGCTAACACAAGTTTATGATACTTACAGGTTTTGTTCAGCGAGATAATCTTCACATATGAACACCTTTCATACCACATTTGAAGCTTAAATGCGATCGCCAGAAGTAAAAAGCTAACGTTAGGCTTTAATGGACTACATGACTACTCCACGGTCGCATGACTCTTGACGTCACCGCCACTAAGCTTTCAACTGATTTCGGCCGCTTTATTTTAAAAACATTGTTTAATGGGGAAATCGGACTGTTTAAGCTAAATAAGAAGCTGTAATGGCGGACTGCCAGCACTCTCGCCTGTTCGGGGGTGATGACGTTTAATGTCCACGACAGGGTTTGTAGTCGTATTGAGCAACTTGTTAGCAACCGCCTTTTTTACGACACATAAAAGCTTCAAAATTCACAAGTAGAGTATTTACTGATGTGTTTTATGTCGTAGAACAAAATCTGAAACTCGCTTAAGCTTTTGTTAACCACAGACCTTATTTGAGGCATTTTACCAAAATCCCATTCAAAAAACGTATTGACTTTTAGACGAGAGAATCGGAAGTGCTAAAAGCGCTAACGGAGTTCCGGGTTTACTGGCACACTCTATTAAACCATGTTTAATGTGTGTTTTGAATCAACTAAACTTTACAGCACTTCACAGAGACCCTACTGCCAACTAGTGTTTTGGAGGTGTAACTGCAGAGTGACACAGACACACCACCACACAAGTAAAAATGCTCACAATGCGTAGGTCATGTGTGTAGACGAGGGTCTGAGGCACAAGTATAAATCCCGCTTTAATCTTAAGATGATTCACTTGGAAAAGGGCCTATGTCATTCTAAATATCCAAACAAAAAATGCTGTTTACATAACCCGTATCAAATTTAGAATATTGTCATTGTCAGAATAATTGTGGAATATTAGTGTGCATGTAAACATAGTCACTGTCATCAAACTAAGCCTTAGTCAGAAGTTTTGGTGCCCCCCTGGTGATGTATCGAAAGAGGACACTGACAACTAAAGGTTATGAAACACTTCAGCATCAAAATTACAAGTTCAGATATAATGAGACAATCAAGAGGGGACTTAAGTGTTCAGTCAGTTACAGAAAAAAAAATCTCAATATAAATCATCACCAGTCTAAACATTAGTTTCACTTTTGGATGTGTCTGCTACGACGCTATGAACTCCTCTGACTGTGCTCCTGCTTTAAACCACTCAAATCTATTTTTTTTTCTTTTGTCTTTGTGTGTGTTAGGGCTTTCAGGAAGCGGCAAGGAAACAGGGGAAACACAAGCAGAGAGTTTGGCTGAAAGTTTCCTCCAGCGGCCTGAGAATCCTGGACGAAAGGACCGGGGTGAATCACACTCACCCTCCCATTGCTCTCTTTCTTCTCATTGTGTTGTCCTGTTGCTGAAGCGCCCCCCTCAGGCTGATGGTTGATCTTGAAAAGTTTATGCAACCACAACAACCATCGTGGTTTTCCAGTGGACAAAAATACTCAACTAATGCCAGATCAGTTCTCAGGATTCCTTTGAGAGGAAAAGCAGAATATTTATACAACTGACATCAGGACCAGAGACATAAAACTGGTCCCCCAATACTGCAGTGCTTTCAAGTTTCAAGAGTCTAATAACTGAACAGTTTTGTATATTTCTGCCACATTCAACAAACTAAACTGCAAACTAAGATCTAGAAAACTCCAAAGCCAAATGTTCCCTTACAAAATGCAGAGTAACAGAAACTGTTTGAGATCAGAATAATGACAAAATAACTCAAATCTGGCTACATTTTATGGTTATGATATCTTAATTTCCCCTTTTTCTTGCAGTAATTGTAGTTTTCTGTTCCTCCATCAGTTTGTATTTATTGCTGAGTATTGGTCAGGTGGTCAACATAACTAAAAAGTCTAAATCCTCTTTATAATCTGTGTTTTAGGCTGTGCTTCAAGACCATGACAGGAGCAAGATCAGCTCCTTGAGGAAAGATGAGTCTGACCCCAGAGCTCTGGCCTACGTCTACCAACACCAAGACACCTACTGCCTCTTCTACATCAAGATGGCCAACCTGGTGACAACACAGAGTGCTACATGTCGTTTTTGTGCTGTAAATGTTGTTTGTCACCCTGCTGTGAATGTGTTTGGTGCCCAGTGTGATGTTTTGTCCGTGTTCATCAGGCAGATCCGGTCCTGGCTGACATTGGGGAGGTTTGTCAGATTGTGGATGAGGAGATGCCGCAAGAACCTGCAGAGGCACTGACACAAGTCATAGAAAATGTGTGTTTATCAGTGGGGCTTTTTTTAGTGCATGGGTTCTGAATTAGACTGCATTTAATTCTATTTGTTTTTTCCAGACCAGCTCTTTACTGCCTCTAAATGACATCTCAGCCCCTCCAGCTGAGGTAAATCAAAGAATAAAAAGATGTTTAACTGCCCCCAAATCTTTTGATGAGGTTCATCACTGAACATCTCTTTTGAGTGTACTGAATGTGCTGTTATTTTCAGGGACCAGCTTTTGAGGAAGTGTTCAGTCCACGTCCGGATTCGTCATCAGGACCATCAAACCAGGTCAAATCAACAAAACACAAAATCACACATATTACCACCAACAGAAACAATAATCAGCTGACAATTCCGTGTCAGTGTTTTTGACTCAAATAAAGATGTCTGAATTTGACCCTGACAAAAAACAAACAAAAAAGAAAACATTATTCTGTAGAGATAAGAGAGCAGGGTTAACACATAGTGTAGAGCAGAGATACTGAACTTCTTCTTCCCAAGGGCCACTTCTGCAAAACGACAGGAGGCCGGGAGCCAGTTTAACAAACAATGATAATATTTATCAAATACAATGATTAAACAAGGCAAACCCAGTTGCAGCAGCCCCACACAGGTCAGGTGTATACAAGGGAGTTTGTTGGATTTGAGGACATTCAAGACTTAGCCTACAGCTCTTGCGGAGGGTCCAAGAGATCCTCCCCTTTCACTTATTTTTTTTTTCAATTTTGTGATCAACAAGCTCGCTTTATTCTGATGCTTTTTATGCACTCTGGCACCTTATTTACATTCAGAGTACAAAAGTGTAAATCAGTTTATTTTTCATTGTGATTTAGACAGTGGTTGGCAGGCTACCCAGCACCCCATCATGGGCTGAATCTGGCTCACCGGCCCAGTTTATTATCACTGATATAAAGGTTTATGGCAAGTAACCTGAGTTAGTTATCCAGCTGCTCACCTTCTAAGATCACCAACACTGTGAATAAACCAGAGTAGTCGACGCAGCATTTCTATTTTAGTTATATTTTTTGTCATTCATGTCCATTAACAGTAGTCAGCTATAAATGTGGCTCTTAACAGTGAGAACACTCTCACTAATCTACAGCTTAAAAAACAGTCAGCCAGCCTGACTGGTTGAAATATAGGTGAGTGATCAATTCAAATGTATTTTACTGTTATTAAATACACACTGCAGTGTCTCTCTGTTTCTCTTTCTACAGGCCTCCTCCAGAAATGAGCTGATGGAAGTCTTTTCCGTCCAGATGGAGGAGCCGCTGATGCCCAGTCAGAGCCCATGCACCACTCAGCCAGGTGAGTTTCAACATGAGATCGGGAACCAGTTGCAAAAAACACCTTTAAGTATGAACCTTAAGGCTTAATTTCTCCTCAGCTGAGGGAGTCACACAGTTGCAGAGAATCCCTTAAAAGGTTTCCTTTATTAAGGAAAAACTCATTTACTGTTTTGAAAAAGATTTTACAGAGGTACAGATTTCCATGGGGATTGTTTGCTTGCTTAGACTAACATGTGTGATGCCTGTTACCATCTCACAAAGTTGTCTTGTAGTTAGATAGTGTAAAAATAGCAGAGGAAAAGAAGACAAGAAACCCATATTGGTCAAAGGAGAAAAATATACTAAAAAGATACTAGATATTTTTGGAGGAGTACGATCATAGAAAGCACAAACTACAAAGTAAATTTGATCCCCTGCGCTGAGGCTATGCTGAGGCTGTTTTGCTGGGGTTAGCCATGACTGGAACCTTTCACCATGTATGATGTGAAACATTTTGTTTGTAGAGTTAGTTGGGGGCGGCACACAGCCTGGGTGGAGGTGCTACCTGAGAGGCCTGAATCAGGGCAAAATAATCTCTCTCTGTTTTGCTTGGTCTCTCCCAACTTTCTTCCATATTTCACTACATTTTTAAAAATGTATAATGCATGTTTACATTACTTTTTCTTTACGTAGTTCCAGCAGTATACTTTCACAGGTGACTATGAAAAGCCAACAAAGCACAGTACACAATAAATGAAGCCATTAATCTTAACATTTTTTTTCTTTGTAATTATTGTGGCAAACATTACAGAATTGTGAGGTTTTTTTGACCAATTCTGATGCAATTTGCAAACCTTTTTTTGTAATTTTGCAATGAATTGCGATAAACTGGACTCAGGTTGACAAGTGCACTTCCTATTTCTCCCCTTTTTTTCTGTCACGGTCAAAACATTATAAACAGAGAGGAAGGAAGTTATTTCAAGTCACATTTGTGAAACATCTACTTTAGTTTGATTCATTTGTAAAGGTAACTGGTTTGAGAGTTTTGTTCGTAGGCCTGACTGGATTGTGATTAACAAGATCGGACACACAAGAAGAACGTAAATATGTTGTTAGTACAGTCCTTTTTTCCATCACATCAGAGGGAGGATTCCTACAGAGATCTGACTCAGAGGTTATCAGCTTAATACCGTCATCATGCAAATAAGTATCATTAAAAACACCAGGCTGTTCCGCCATAAAACTACAGCCCAACACTGACCACTTCCCTTCTCTAGATCTTGAGTTGACCCACTGTTGGCATCTCCCTTGTGTTTTTCTGAATCAGAGCACTAACACCTTTACAGTGTGTCAACACATACACACACAAATGTCATACTGTGGTACTGAAACTGTGGTTAAGATGACTGAAGAGCTGTGGGACCGAAAACATTGTTTACATCTTCACTGAACATTAAATGACAGTATTTCAGGCTGCAGCAGATACGAACTTATTTAACTATAATATACTGCACATTATATATCATGAGATGAGATCAGGCAGTAAATAAGAGAGAATAAATGAAGTTGGAGCCATACACTGATGCTGTACCCTACAGCTCTCCAGCTGCTGTTCCTCAATTGACCTTTGACCTTTGACCTTTGACCTAGCGGTACAAGAGAAATACACACAGTGTTCTTTAATGTACACAGTATTTTCCCATGATCTCCCTGTTCATGTTTAATATCTGCTCTGGTAGGGAGTAGCATAGTTCCCATGGTCGCTGCCGATAAAGAGCCGCTCTTTAATATTACAGAAGAATGTGTGTTGTGTGTGTTTACTGTCTGATTGAATAAATAATCTCACAGATTTACTCTCAGCACATGCTCAGTTCCCACACTGACAGATTCAATTATCTGTCTCAACCTCCTCAAGAAGCAGAATGATAAAATCACCATGTGTGGAATTACACAAATAAGCAAGAGTATAAACATTTTTGTCTCCATAATGAGTTAAAGTGTGAGCAGGTGGCAGTTTGATGTTCATATAAAGCAACAAAGGTTTGTGGTGATGTAATTTACGCCTTCGACATCAGAAGATCTACATCACCTTTACATCTACATCCTGTCTGTTTGTTTTGGTCCTTTATTATCACTCAACGGTGACAGTGACCTTTCCCTGACCTTGAAGTTAGTTTTACTTACATAAATGAACCACACACCACCACTTACTCCTCTTCATCCCCTATGGGACATATGGCTTCATTGAGCTCCTTCCATTCCATTTGATCCTTGGCAGCATGTTGAGCCTCTCCCCATGACAGGTTCTGAGCAAGGTGGTTTTGGGCCATCCAGGTTTTCTCTTGCCTATTGGTTCCCATCTTAGCTGACTCTCATGATCCGGCCCTGCTCCATTATTAGCACATGGCCTAGCCATCTCAAACGTCTGTGTGTGATTTCTTTGGTGATGCTCTGGCTGCCTGTTTCCTTGTACAGTTGAAGGTTGGAGATTTTGTTTGGCCAGAAGATGTGGCACATCTGTCTGAGGCATCCATTGTGAAAGGCTCACACTCTCATCATGTCTGTTTTGACCACTCGCCAAGATAATAATCAAATCAAAAGCATTGCCATTTAGGAATTCCAAGATTGCAACTAGGGTTGCAACTTATGTTAATTCTCTAATATCTGACATAGGAAACAAAAAAGTTACAAATGAACATCCATCACAGTGTCAAAATGCCAAAGGTGTCTGCTTTACATTGCTTATTGTTTAACCAATGGACAAAACCAGTTCCAGAGCTGGAACTAATGTTTGGCATGTCTGCACGATTAATGGTGTTTGACCTTTTGGAAAATTTGTTTCTTTAGTTAGACTAAAGAATAGCATTCTCATATCTGTTCATTAGCCAGAGCTTGATTAGCCTAGCTTAGCATAAAGACTGGAAACAGCTGGAAACAGCTAGCCTAGCTCTGTCTGTAGAAAAAAAAAATTCTACCAACTGTTAAAAGTTCACCAATGAAACAGTGTATGTTTAATCTGTACATAAACTAAAAGTGAACAACCAGTGTTTTTACAGGGTGTTACGAGCTTGAACTATTTCTTGACACAGACTTCCTGAAGTTTTGTCATCAGACAAGCCAAGTAGACAAGCCAAGACGATATTTTGTCAGGAGCGCGACCAAACATTTAACTGAAATGGAGGGAGTCCCTGTTCCTCTTTGTCTGTCTGTCTGACTGTCTGTCTAATGTTTTCGACAACAGTTCATTCAGTTGACTTCATACTTGGCTGGTGTATTGCTGAAAACTCAAGGAAGTGCAGTGTTGAGTGTGAGCTCTTGAGATCCACAGGTCATATTTACTAGTAATTTGTTGTTGTACACTGTGTGTAGTGTACCAAGAGGGGACTCCTAATAACCGATATACCCCTGAACAGCATGCTGGGTACAGCTCGCTCTACGTTGCTAACTATGCACTCAAGAACAGATGAAGAAAGAGACGTCAGAGATATTACATTGTAGCAAACTCAAACATTTCAGGCATCAATTTGTGTAACTTTTAAAGTGAACCCTTTTGTTCCAGGAAATAGCTTTGACCCAAATAGCTACCTGTCAGTATACTCTATGTAATGATAAGTGTACTGCTCAGGACCCAAGGAAGTGCTGTGTTGAACGTGAAGTTGTTTAGTTAAGCTGTTCTCGCTAAAACTTCAAGCAGCTGTACCAGAGGCCAAGCGATCAGCCCATTCCATTTGAGCCCGGTCTCAATCCGAAGTTGCTGAAATCCAGTGCTTGGGCAGTGACTTGCGGCTTCAGAAACCAACAAAAAAAGGCATCCTTTAATGTCGGCATGATGCGTATCCGATTGCTGTTATAGTTTAACAGTACCCAGCGGGGTCGGGGGAAACGCAGTGACTGTCAGAATGGGGCAGGCATCAGGGGGAAACGCAGTGGGACAAAGACAAAAGTTAAGGCAGCAAATGTCCAAGTGCAGCAGGCGGGAGGGGTGGTGGATGGGTCCAAAAAACACCAACTTTCAGAGAGCAGTGTTCACATCCCGTATGATTCTAAAGCCAAACCCTGTTCCTTTTTCCTAAACCCAACCACGTTTTTGAAAAAAAGTCAATTTGCGGTGTAATACAGACATAGTGCCTTTATTTTGAAAGTGACTGTATGTAAACATTCAATTTCTTGTAAAAATGAAAGAATATTTTGAAAGAAGACAATGCATGTAACAGGCAGAACTTGACACGGTGTCCAAGAACATCGACAACCAACGCAGACAGGGTACCTTGCATGTTGGATGTGGACGTGGAAAGTCCATGACCAAAACACCATATGTGACGAGGTCAGAATGACAATGCGTTGTCCAAATAGGCACTTACATGAACGTGCACAGTCCTATTTATGTGTATTTGTACAACCGGAGCAAAAGTTTTAAAAACCTTCTATATTTATGTTCTTCCTTTCTCAGAGTCTCCACCTCCACAGCCAATGCTCTCCGCCTCTCAGATCCTCTCCATGTTCCCCACACAGCCAGTAGGGGGCTCTCCATACTCCTCACCCCCATACTCTCCCACCGCCATGCCCTGGGGCCAGCAGGGGCCTCTGGGAAATCAGTGGGCAGGTCCAGCTGCGGCGCCTTGGCCCACAATGCCAGGCAGTATGGCAGCGTGGGCACCAGCAGGCATGGCAGCGCCCCCTGCAGGCGGCCAGATTCAGGCTAATGGCCCTCAGCCAGGAGTCATGGGGCGAGGAAATGCACCAGCTTCACCAACTGCTGTCATCGGGCACCCTGTCCCTTTAAACTCCTTCTCCGCCCCTGCTGGAGCAACAGCACCACTGCAGTCAGTGACGCCCATCTTGGACTTGGATCCCCTCTTGTGATGAACTGGTTATAACTGAAAAAAAAATGAATTGCTGCTCATAGAGAACCACTCAAAAATAATTTCAGCTTAATTTCTGGATGTTCACTTTTGTCTTTAATCAAATAATTGTGTTGCTGCTATTCAAGAAACCTAGAAGATGAAAACAATCCAACATGTCAGAGTTACAGTATAACATGTCTGTTTAAACTGGAAAATACAAAAGTTTCGCTGCTCTTGTTTCTCATAAAAGTAATTTAAGGTTGAAATCACACAATAACTATAATATAGATGTCAGCAGTTGATACCAGTCATGATCTATTTCTGCTCATTTACAGTATGTTCTGCTTTATGAATTTTATCTGATACTTGGGATAACTTTTCCTTTAATTCGTTTCTACGTGTTATTTTGCTGTTTTTTAAATCAAATTAACTACAATTTGCTGTCTTATTGAAAAGTTTTGCTCATCTCTTGCACATGCAGAATAAAATGAAATACAGACCATATATAGAAGCTTGCTTACCTTTACGTTGTTGCTTTCTTTTTCTTTAGACTATTTGTCATTTGTCTTGTGCTTTTAACTAAAACTATGTCATCACACTTTTTTCCTAACATTTTTATTTTTTAAATACAAATGAGGAAAAAGTCTAAAACATATTGCCATAAAGACAAAATATCTTCGCTTTACTTAAAATGTCCTCACAGTGCCCTCACACTGTACATTTTGATACGCATGATTAAAAAAACCCTGACCCTTTAAGAAGAAGTGAAACATACTGGCTGAGATCATGTTAACATATCTCTACTGTTCATCCCATGCTGCTGCGCTGTCAGTCCCCCAGTTGCCCACACTGAATTACTGAGCATTTCCTCATTTGCAGTAAGTTTAGTGTCACAGGTCTGTACAGTAGCATCAGGCTGGATACTGAATCACTGCTGGACATGAAGCACTTTATCCATCAATAAACCATTACTAAAGGCAAACATGGTAAGAAACTGTTATTTACTATGTTATTTAAGAAGTGCTGTTGTTGTTTTTAGCATATAAACCAATGGAGGGTTTGAAACTCCTCCACACCACCTTTCACACTTTAATTCTGGCCATTTCCTCCTAACCATCAAAGCGTCTATGAATAACCTGACTGTTGTAGAAAGACCATTAACTGATTTTAATGTTTCAGTGGGGGTAAAACCTCAGTTTTCTTCTGCCATTCAACTACCTACTAATTAAATCAACTTTTAAAACTTTTAACTTGCTTTAAAATCCTGTGAAGGCGACGATCTGACCGACTGGCTGCTGTTGTTCTTGATAGCAATTACATCATTTTCACAGGAGAAGGGGAAGTTAGATTTGAAAAAAAAGAAGAAAGATATGTTCACGCTGCTGCTGATGAAAGAAAGCTTTATTACACACAGCTATCACTGGTTAATGATTTACAGTGTGCTCAGTGCTGCTTTACTTCTACTTTTCTGTTTTCCTTATCTTAAATTTCACTTTAACTGCAATTAAAGACTTCTTTAAATTAAAAAAAAGGCAAAAATGGTTGATATTTAGTCTTTAAATTGTTAAAAAAAAATCCTGTACTCCCTCCAGGTTTTCTCCATGTTGGGGTCATTAGATCATCATGACCCCGCTGAAACCAGACTAATTATTGTAAATTTGACTGTTCTTAAATGTTCCAGCAATTAAGTAAATGAATCAACTACATTAAGTGTCTGTTTTCTGTTACAGAGACTGGCTGGTGCGTAATATGTGACAAAAGATTACTATCACCTGAATATATTCAGTCAAACTTAATCTGTATAGCAGCATTCACACAGGTTAGGGCAGTTCAAAGTGCTTTACAGACTGTTAAGCTCATGATAAGACAAATGTTCACAACAGGTTTCACTTTTTTGCCCTAATAGAGATCAATAGAGTTTATTGATATTTCAGAAATTGTTGGCTTTCACACAACAAAAAATATAAATATATAAATAAGTACAAAATGAGATTTGACTGTGAATAAGTAATTTTATGCGAATTGACTTTGTCTTTATTTTGTCACTTAGTCATAAATAAAATGCTTTCTCTCAGTGTTACCAGGTTTTCTCTGCAGCGCACCTGCACAGCTACAATCTGTGGTGACACCGTTTTAAAAACATCTGCGATAATTTGTCAGCGCCAAATGACACACTCGTACAGATGAACACACACACTCCTGTAGGTGCTCGCTTACTCAAAGTGGAACCCCATGTATGCGTGTCATCGGTTTTGCGGTGTAGAGAGAAAGGTTTTTGTCTGTTTCCTCTGTTCCTCGCATTGAGAGAGACGACTGCGAGCAGAGTTCGAAGCTTATTGGAGCAGGGGTGACAGTGCTGTAGGGCGTCTCTATGGTAACCAGCACAGGATGCTGGCTGAGGTACAGAGGTGTGTGGTTGTGAGCACTTCCTGCTCTTCTTCACACTCTCTGTTTGGCTTTGTCACAACTTTAGGTGTTCAGACATTAGATGGTGTCATTTCTTTATTGTCATCATGTTTGTGTTTTCTCAGCATTACAGAGAGTGAGGTGCGTTCATTCATGACAAAATTTGCTTTTATTTCCACCATGTTTCCCTCCTTATCTCCTCCATATATGTGAGTCAGCTAACCAGCGCTCTATTAAAACAGTTTTCTGACTCCGCTTGCTGAAGTTAAATTCAGTCTGTCTGTGGATGACTGTAGCTCCTTTATTTTAAACTCTCCTTCCTTCTTTTATTTCAGTTCATTTGTGTAGGTGAGAATGACAACATTCAAACCCCAGATAACGTAACAGGGATGCCTAAACATGAAAACCTCAGTTCTTACATGATGACTGAGACTCATGTCAAATTTTCGGTTTGTCTCAACTTTCATCTACCACACATACATTTTAAAAACACTCCAAGGTGAATAAATGTACACTCCATACACATCATCTTTGTAAAGGTAGAATTCACAGCTGAGATATTGTATTGGATTTTACAGGTGTACCTAATAAAGTGGCCACTGAGCATAAAAACTCCCCTCACTGGGGCATTGGTGGCTTAGTGGATAGAGCAGGCACCCCATGTACAAGGCTGTTGCCGCAGCGACCCGGGTTTGACTCCAACCTGTGGCCCTTTGCTGCATGTCATTCCCTCTCTCTCTCTCCCCCTTTCACACTTGACTTTCCTATCAATTAAAGGCAAAAACTGCCCAAAAAATATCTTTAAAAAAAAAAAAAAAAACTCCCCTCACTAACACAGACAGCAGCGTTTCACCTAGCAGCAGCGTGGCGTCAGTGTGAGTGTGAGGAACCAGACAGGAAATGGCTTCTAAACTCAAATTCAATAACCACAGCCAGAGTATTCAAACATAGATAAAAAAATCTACATGAAATCATTGCAGTAAATATTAGATATCCACCTTGGCAGGATACCGAACTCCGTCCTATAAAAATGTTTGTCTGGAAGTCATGTGACTGTTTTTATGAGCTTCGTTTTTTGCATGTTGTCATTGTCACACTAAATGACCAAAATTCCAAAGTTGCAACAGAGGCGACTTCTACATACAAAGACAGATCTTTAGAGGTGTAACTACCCTTTAAAAGTCTGCCATGAAATCTCAGATAAACATTAAAGCCAGGGACGCCCATCCATGACTGCTCCAAGCATTGGAACAACATCAAACTTTATCTGGGCCCAATTCCAATTATTATTTTTACTCCACCCCTTATCTTTCGAGTAGCACCTTGCCCCTCAAAACAAAAGTTACAAGGGGCAGTCGTTTAGTCTTGCGGTTGCCAGGACGCTAGTGATTTGTTCACAGCTTACTTTTGTATAAGCTGTGAACACAAAAGTAAGCTGTGTGTGTGTGTGTGTGTGTATGTGTGTGTGTGGTGTTGGTGGTCAAGGGGGGCATTGAACATGTCAAAATGTAGCACTGTCATGCACAAATCTGCAATAACAATGTAATTCTGGCTAGCTAATGTTAGCTTGTTAACCACTACTGTACCAAGACATCGACATACTAGTAATTTCTTCTGTTATGCACTTTGTTTAGAAAAGGAAATTGAAACAACAAAAAATAAGATAACATGATTGTAATCATACATTTTAAATCTTTATCAACAAAGAAAATACCTGTGGGTTGTGGGTTTCTTTTGTTGCTCGTACTGCCATCTTGCCGATGATTTCTCATAAAACTCAGTTTGAAGTGTGTCTCTGAAAAACTTTAGCTTGGAGGGCCATGTAGCCCTAACACTTGGCCCTACCCCTCTATTACAACAAGAATTGCGACACCTTATCCCTAGACATGAATACGCAAAGGGGTAAAGTTTGTGGTAGGGGCAACGAGTCTATTGGGATTGTGCCTTAGAACAATCCGATTTTCTTTTAGGAATGCACAGATCTGATATGTTGGGTATCAGCCGAAATGTGGCCAATTCAGTTTCTTTCTCAGTGTCACTATGTTTTTCACTGCCATTCATTAAATCAGCTGCAGTTGTTAGTGTCTCTGACCACATGCTAGAATTGAAATTTTTAATTTGTAGTGTGGTTAACTTACTTTGGACTTTGGACTAGTGGAGCAGTGGTATCAGATAGTTAGACACTGATGATACCCTGAGTTTAAGTATCATATCGTCTACATAACCTCATCTCTACTATTGTTTCCATAAAGATTGTTGATAAAACAGAAATTCTAACCACCTGTTTTAATTGAAACAAGATTTTATTGTATTGTTAATGATAATCTAATTCGTTCATGAAGATCACAAGGAATCATTTTCTTTCTGTTCCTGTAAAAGTTTTCTCTGCTGCACAGAGTTGAAGATTTCTCAGTTCTGTGAAGATCAAAACGACCAGGAAACTGTGTTGTTGCACAGCGCATTCTCACTTTGTAAAGATAGCATAGGGGTTTGACGAGTGTGTGTTTGTGAGCGTGGGGGGCATGCCGTGCTGTGTGCTGTGCTGCTAACTTCCTGCTTTAGAAACAGAGCAGCTGCAGTTGAGTTTGTACTCCTGTGTTGTTTTCAGGGGGAGACTGTCGACGTCAAGGCTCTGAGGGCCCGGTTCAACAACAACGCCAGCACCTCAGACACCAGCAGCCGAGACAGTGGCTCCCCAAAATCTCCACGACCTGGATTTGGAAAACTGATCCTGCCACTGACTGATTACGATCTGGCGCACCACAGACTGTCTCCTACGGTTCCCCCTCCTCCGATGGCCAACCCAGGCCTGGTGAGGTTTCCAAGGACGGAACCGATGGCAGCCCCCATCCCCTCCAGACCTTCCTTCCCTCGACCACCTCCCAATCCAGGAGTCAGAGCATCGACCCAGCCTGGAGACCCCGGAAAGGTCAAGCAAAAGGGGGAGATGCTACAGAACATGATGCTGAGGCACCAGAGGCCTCCAGCCCCCAATTTCACCCCGGGTCCAGCGGCCTCTGCACCAGCTCCCACCTCCACCCCTCTACCACTCCGACAGCAGCCTCGACAGAGAAGCGCAGGGGACGTGACCCCACTGAGGAGGCCTCTACCTCCTGAAGGACCCCAACCTTTGAAACCAAAACGGCCTCCCAACGTCAACCTGGAGCCTTTTCTGAGGTCCAACCGAGGACCTGCCCTCCCTGGTCCGAGAAAGAATGACAGTGAGTCTCTCGGGCTTTTTCACATCCATAGATTTCTAATTATGTTGAACTAATAAATGAAAGATGCTTTGGGTGTTGCTGGTATTCACTGGAATTTATATCTCTCTGGCTCATTTTACTCATTTCTGCATAAAAACAAACACTTGAGGTTCATTCTTTTAAACAGTAATTGACAAAATCATGACAGTGATGGGTGGATTTGGAAGATCAGTCAACAGGCTTTGCCACAAAGACAAACTGGTTTATTTCCTGCCCTGCTGTCGTTTGTTTTTTCACAGAAGACATTTTGACATGTCACAGTAGGAAAACCTCAGGTGTTAACAATATTTTAATGATGGCTGAACTTGAACCTGCTTCAGTTTCAGGGTCCTGGTATTGTGCCTGTGGGCTCACTGTCACATTGTCATGGTTTACAGGGAACTTGAACAGAACAAAAGTATCATTAATATTTTTAGTAACTCCTGTGCTCTTCTTACTGTGACAAGTCAAAATGTCCGCGCTGAAGAAAATAGACGATAGGGTATTAAACTTTTCTATTATTTTATCTCTGAATTTTAACTTCTGATCGAAAATTAAGTCCATTAAAATTTTGCCGATGGAGCCTCAAATACCAAAAGAAGAAAAAGAGCCCTTTGTAAAACATTAGTATCATTTTTTTTAAATCCTGTCATAAATGTTTCATGTTAAAATGTGCTAATTAACAAAGCTCAGTAACAAGAAAGAAAACAAGAACATTTCAGCATATTTGTTGTGAATTTTTGCCTTTTTGTTGACTGTCCATTCATCGCTGGTTCTCTGTCTCATGTAGCCGTGAATTTCTTTGCATTAACAACCATCTCTCTGGTTCTCCTAGGAGGTTCCCCGGGCTCAGCAGGCAGAAAGATGCCTTTACCTGCAGTCGTCAGTCCTCCAAAGCCGCCACAACGATTCACCAAACCCAGCAGGCTGCCGCACCAAATTGCCTCCATGTGAGTATTAAACTACTTCACATGATACTGGTGTTTTTTATGAACCTGCAGAGATGTACGTACTAAAACATAAGTGTCTATGTTTTTCATTACATGTTATTTATTTTACATCTTTGAATACACAATTACTGTAATAAAATCACTGAGAATGCCACAATAAAATCTTAGTCATATTTCCATCACATGATGTAAAGATAGCCGGCAGGAAATTGTGTGAAAATTAACGTTACGCTTACATCAATGTAACTCACTTAAAGGAGAATAAATCATACCAGAGACTCTAATTTTGAATTTAAAAAAAAGTATAAAGTATAAAGTAGGCACATTTTTGTAAATTGCTGCAACATCCAGGTGTCAAATGGTCTAAGATACATGTCACATACTTAAATGCTTACTGATAAACAGCTAAACTTGCTTGTTTATTGATTGCAGGGACATTGAGGATAATGAGGACTTCTATGATGACATTGATAGGAACGGTAATAATCGCAGCGTGTTTACTGGGGCAACGTTCCTCTTGTTCCTCTGACACATTTTAAGTTTTTAAAATTTCCCTATATTATAATTAATTAAGAGAATGTGCCACTTTCCTTTCATGTCTTAATATTGTGTGACTTTACAGAGTCCTGTAGCGACAATGGTTCACACTGTATGGACGGGGTAAGGACAAAAAACTGAAACTGAAATTTTAAGTTACTATAAATTGAGAATGCTTCCCATTTTAAGAGTTTAAAACCAGGCGGTTCCTCCTTTGAGAACATGTTGTTTTCTTCCCTGAAACTAGAAACTACAATTCCAGTTCACACTTGTTTGTATTGCTGGAATATTAATGTTCTATTGGTGAGACAAGTGACGATTAAAATTAATCTATTGTCGGTGGAGCAGAGAATGATTTTCTTACAATGGGTGGTGTTCTCCTTAAATCTAATTATCCTTGTTAATGAATTTAACTTTGCTATTTAAACATGTAAATAAAATCTTTTCTCTTGCAGGAAGATGATGAAGTGTATGAGTTTATTGACGAGTAAGTACTAACTTTCTGCCTTTACTGTTAAAACACTGTCTGTACTCGTTAGGCATGTTACAAGCCAAAAGCCGAAAGTGTCTGCAGCTCTTTAAACATGAAGCGGAACAGTGTTTCTATGTATTTCTGTTACTGCTGCTGTTATTTTTGCATCTACTGCAAGTCCTGCTAAAGCAGCTACTTGTGCAACAACCACAACTGCAACTACTATTACTAAAAAGACTTTTGCAATTATGGCGTTTTTGCAGCTGACACAACTTTAAATTATTCAAACTGAAAACAACAATCTCTGCTCCATGAGATTTGAAGTCACACAGAAACAGCGTTTTGATTTAATGTGTCAACACTGAATGTGCCACAGTTGTACGATGATACTTCTACCACTTCCCTATGGTTATAAGTTGTTTCTGTGATTCAACTTATTTCCTGTAAAAGAGGGATAGTGACAAAATCAGGGGTGGGAGCATACTGAAACTTGGGTAGACTAAAACAAACTGAAAGTGAAGTTTGTGGAATATTGCAGTTCAGAAAACAGTTTAATGTAAAGTTCTCAGGAAATAAACATTTTGATTGTTGTCAGTAATTTAACATATAACTTTATTGTTGAGGTAAGCGCATGTTCTTTCATGTAACCAAAAAATACACCTTTTTCCAGAGAGTTAAAATAATGGTACTACCACGGCAAAGCATAGCTTCTTACTGCATACACAGCATCAAAGAGTCAGTAGCACAGCTGCAGATTCCTTTTAGTGGCTTGTCATTCATATTGTACGAGTATACTGTGATGTGAACTGTCTAAAAAACGTCACATTTCTTATTTCTTGTTTGAATTCTTCCTTTACAGGGACCAGGTGGAGCAAAATCAATTACATGCTGGGAAGCAAAACAAAAAAGATGCAAAGAGGCAGCGGGAGCAGGAGAAGAAAGAGCAGATGGAGCGTCAGAAAAAAGAAAATGAGTTGAGGAAGAAATTTCAGGTATCAACAAAGATGTCCTCAGTGAAACTCTGAAGTTCTGTTTCTATGACAGAAAATCACATAGTATCACTTTTGAATTTAGGTGACATGGATGACAGTTTAGAGGGAAAATTTGCCACCTCTTATGAGAATGCCCAGTTAGTAAATGTAGCCCATTGAAGCAATAAATTCTTTAGTGTGTACTATACTGACAAATAAAGCTAAGTCCTGCTCATAGAGCTGTGCCAGCAGTGCTTTATGTTCCAGGATGCATTGCACACAAGTCTTGGCCACTCTTCACTACATTTCTTTAGCCATATTCTGGTTCAAACAAATACAGCTAAATATTTAAGTCACCCAATACACTGTGAGAGGTGTCCTGATCATAACATCCTCTGCACTTATATTTGGGATACAAGCAAAAAGAGTGGTATCGAGAGCCAACACATTCTCATCCCAACTCAGCTGCTTTGTCAAAATATGACGCACTAGTTAGCCTCCTATGTCGCTTCTGGATGTTCAGGAAGGGCATGTCAATTTACAGTTGTTACATGAATTGTGTCTTTTCAAGATAAACTTACAATATTAGTAAAACTTCATTGACTTTTGGTTTCACACAAGAAGCGAACAGCAGGCTCCCAGGTGAAAGTCTGAAGTTGTTTGACCCATCCAGCTCCCCTCGCACCAGTCCTGTATGGACTTTCTTGCGCTTTACACTACAGTTGATGTCTGTTGCATAAGAAAAAGCTGTGGCCTGGTGCATATTAATTCATTCATTCATTAATTCATTCATTCCTTCATTCAAACTTTTATTTTAGACTCGGGAATTCAATTGAGGGAGACCCCCATTTTCGATAATGCCGAGCATGAGCAAAGACATTAAAACAATCAATAAGCAAACAAAGAACCATCATTCATACCAATTAAAACAGAAATGAAATCTTTCAAAACAACAAACAATTATAGCAATATATGATCGTTCAAAGCAGAAATACAGGATGATAAAAGTAGAAATATAGGATAATCAACATGTTATGGTGTAGATGAATAGTTAAAAACATTTCTAATCAATTAAAACAAGATCTGAAATAAGGCATTTAAACAGCCATAATGGTGGCAGAGTGTCCAACTTAAAGGTCTTTTGCGGATTGTTCCATGTATAAGGTGCACTGTAAGAGAATTTTCCTAGTTCAGTTCTGATAAAGGGAGTGTGAAGCAACAAAGCGAGTACCGAGATTATGTGAGGTCACAAAGGGTGCCTCTGTGCATTGGTTTCTGACGCCAAGGTCCACTGACAAAGTGGCGGTATCTGAGGACTGGGAGTGAGAATGGGCTGCTAGAGCACGCCCCCTAGAAACTAAAGCTGAAGTAGCCTGTAGTGTTTTGCCTCCAACTAATTGTCAAGGGACTAATTGTGGCCTTGTATTTCAGAATATACTATACATGGCTCGCCACATAATGTCGGCTAATCGAGCAAGTTCACTTGGCTTTTTTTTCCGTTTACCTAATAGTGGCGGTACTGTCACACAGTTGTTGACATGCACCAAGTTGGAACTATGTGGGTGGAACTAAAGTGTTTTTATAAACAGTCAGTACACAAGCAAAAGAATGATTACCTTACAGCAGACATTTCCTGCTAGGTAGCAGAATATGGCCACAGCAAAGAATCATAACGTCGTTGCTTTTAGGAGCGGTAGAAAGTTGAATACTTTTTAACTGAAAGATGAAACAGTTATGTTTGTCTCATTTGTACGGCATGAAGCAGCTGCCTCCCTTATATTTTCACATTATCTATTCTGGCCCCCTTTCAAAAAAAGTTAGGACACTCCTGTCTTACATCCTGAAGCACTGACGTCCACATCTAAACCTCATTAATTTCTGTTAATTGATAACTTTCACAGTTTTGTTTCTCTCTTTCTGTAGTTGCAAGGGGAGGTGGAGGTTATTCATACAGCCAAAGTCCGGCATGACTGGTATGGAGGAGGAAAACTGGACCTCAGCGTACGACAAGGAGAGAGCGTGGAAATCCTCAGAGTGAAGAATAACCCCGGAGGCAAATGGTTGGCTCGCTCTCTGAACGGAAACTGTGAGTTTCACTTAAATTTTTCTATCAGGCATGTTTAGAAAAGCTTTCAGTCTGAACCTCTCTTTAGTGTCATACAGTTAAGTGAGGCATAGCAGCTTCACCTTCCTACATTAATCTTCAGTGATGTGTTGATATGGAGGCTAAACAACTGAAAGTTTATATCTTAAATGATGGTTGTTGTTGTGACAATATTTTGTCTTTTAAATGTGGAAATTGAGATATTAATATTTTTAAAGGTGACAGGCAAGTTTGTAGATCCTTTGTAGCTCAGTTCTATGAAATCAGCAGCAGTTTATGTGTGTGCGTGTGTGTCTGTGTGGTGGGTACAGGGTAATCATCACAGTACTGTAAGTCTCCACCCACCTGTTTGTTTTTTTAACGTGTTTTCAATTTACATGGAAATACTTGAAACTCAAAAAGAAACCTGAAATGTTGCATTTGTTACCCTTGGGTTTGGTGGAAAAGTTGTTATTAGTAATAGCAGATTATTTCAAATCTTCCATGACCTTATAGTATCTTCTGCAATTATTGCACTTTAGCAGGCAATGTGTGCGTGCGATGACTGATGTGAGTTTAGATCTTCAGTTTAAAACATTTTGGAGCCTATCCCAGCTGTCAGGCGAGAGGGCGAGAGGGCGAGAGGTGGAGTACACCCTACACAGGTCACCAGACTAGCGCAGGGCTGACACATAGAGACAGACAACCATTCACACTCACATTCACACCTACGGCCAATTTAGAGTCACTGGTTAACCTGCATGTCTTTGGACTGTGGGAGGAAGCCGGAGAACGTGGAGAAAACCCACACTTACACGGGGAGAACAAGCAACCCCGCACAGAAGTGCTCCCTCACCCTGAGTTCAGACCCCCCACACTGGGTTTGAACCAAGAGGCGACAATGTCAACCGCTGCACCACCATGCCGCCCACAACAACTACAAACAACAAAGAATGTCGTGAATCAAAGCAGAGTAGCATTTTCCCCACTGATAATGTGACATATTTCATGACTATTTCAATTATCATTAATTTCTAGATAAAAGAGAGAGACGATGACACATGAGATATGACACATGAAAATCATTTAATTTTTTTTTAATATATAGAGATACCCAGTAATAATATTAATTATCATTCTTGTATTAGATTTGTCTGAGTTGACTCACACACTGAATCATCGTTATGTAACCAAAGTACATCATCTCCATGTTGTGTTGCCTTGCAGATGGATACATCAGTAACACATGTGTGGATGTTGACTATGAAGCAGTGAAGCGCAAAGTGCTCCAGTCCAGAAAAATAGACACATCAACATTGCCTCCACCACCTCCAGACCCCCCAATGATGTTGAATATGGAGTTGAATAGTAGCAACAGGTAGAGTAGATCATGTTGATCCTGCCATATTTACTAGTGTTGTCACGACACCAAAATCTTTGTTTCTGTACCAATACCAATATGAATTTCGATACTTTTCGATACTTTTCGGTACTTTTCTTAAGGAAAAGTCCTTTTGGATACAAACCTTTAGAACAATAAATAGTAGGGGTGTAACGGTTCCAAAAAAATCATGGTTCTGTAATTACCTTGGTACTGACGTCATGGTTTGGTAACTCAAATGTTCCACCAAGTTTGTGTTGTCTCGTGTTGTCTCCCTTTGCGAGGCAGACTTTCTCTTGTCTTTTTTCACATGCGCCAGCTGCGAATGTTGATACAGGTGTTGTCATACACACCACTTGTGCAATCTGTGCTCCAATAGGAACAAGAAAGGCGTTTGTGTGCATAAATGAGTAAAATAAATTAACTAAATTAATGAATTGAATCAATTTCAAAGTACCGGTATTTTCCAAATGCAGTATAGTACCGTTTGGAATACTCTAGTACCGCGGTACTATTTTAGTACCGGTATACCGTGCAACACTAATATTTACTGCTCTCTACTGTAATATTGTGAGAAAAAATATTTTAACGCTCTTAAACCAACCTTTCCCAAAGCTTTTAAAGTATTTTTTTAGCAGCAATAATCTACTCTGAAATTGATCTAATTGTTCGGTTCTCAGTTTCACTCACATCACTTCCAACTAACATGCTATGTTTCCTCTAATCTGCAGCATGCTTCAAGATGATGGTAAGTGACATCACACCGCATATAAACATCACTGGCTGATTAGGATTAAGATTTATTTTAACTTCATCATTGCTCAATAAAAACTACACAGAAGTGTGCACACTATAGAAATTAAAACGGAACTTAGCTCATTAATACAAATATCACCTGTTTTTGGTTTCATCTTATTTCTTCTTCTATTTTTAAATCAAATTTTTAATTGGTATTCACAAGTGATTCATAGAATTCATTGGTGAAACATCTTTAAAAGTCTACTCTTACTTAAAATATTGTTCAAAATTAACATCTTTAACTGAACTTGAAAGAATTGTATAACTCTCCACACAGTTTGCTGAAGCTCTGTAGGGTAGTTGAAAACTTGAAAAATGAGAACTATGACCAACTTGATTACTTGAATTTTTCTGTGAAAAAGGCTATTTAACTTGTTTTCTTTATTTTATTCTTTTCTCACACAAGTGTAAATGATACATGTTTTTGATTGTTATTGTTTGTTTGTTTGTTTGTTTGTGTCAACAGATTTGTGACAGTTTGTGATTTGTATTCATTTACAGGAAAACAAGATAATTTGGCTTTATTGTACTTTTTTGTTTTGTCCTCAGATGACTATGATGACGTTCAACCAATGACGGAGGATTTCCCCCCACCACCGCTTGAAATCAGGTATCTATTTACATCAGTTCCACTGAAACAGAGCAGGAAATGAGATGTTTGAGCTAGTGACACCTTAATACACCTCCAGTATCCGTATAATGTAAAGCTTTGTTTGTGTAGATATGATATAATGCGAAAGTACTTGAGGTAATGTTCAAAGACAGAAATTACAACAGAATTAGTCTGCCACTAATTTATTTTTATCAATCTGTCAGACCAAATCTGAGAAAATGTGTGTTGTTTATTAATGTATTTAAATGCTTCTTAATAAATCATTCATCTGTTTCCAGCATTGATCCCAAACTGGAGAAGGAGCTGAAAAAAAAATTTAAGGTAAAATGTCTTCACACTTTCACACCAGATTATTTGGTTAAGTGAAGGATAAAGCAGAGTGTCATCAGCATAGTGACAGAAGGAAATTGTGATATTGTTTACTGTGTGTTTCTCAATTATTTGTCTAAAGGGAAATATGTATAGAAAGAAAAGAACAGGGCCCAGGGTGGATCCTTGAGGAGCTCCACATACACCCCACAATTATGAGAAGCATAATTTCCACATGATGCATATAAAATAAATATGTTGCAATGCCCTCATCAATAAAATCACTGAAATGCAAAAAATGCTAAAAATGGTTCCCTGTTACTGTTACCCAGTATGACGGACCTCTCAGGGTGCTGCACACCATGATGGTGGATCCTAATAGTGCTATAAAGAAGCCAGGAGGGAAAGATCTGCCTGTGGTTCAAGGAGAAGTCGTGGACATCATCCAGCTCACCAGTAGCAAGAAAGCTCTGTGTCGCAACCAGTTTGGTAAATGTATGTAAACCCTTGCATCCCTCCTTGATAACATGTTATTTAAATCTTCAGCAGGTGATCCATTAGCAGTTTGTCAAGGTGTCTGGCTTTAAACAAGAAAGAGTAAGAGTTGATCTTTATTGTTGGCATTGTCATTAACAAAACAACAGTCATGCCAGCAGTTCTGTGAGGGTTCACTGAGGTAAAGCTGTGCTTTAAACTAAATGCTAACAACAGCATGCTAATATGCTCACAATAAAACTGCTAAAATGCTGATGTTAATGCATATTGTGCTCAACATCTTGGTTTACCATTTTAGCATGTAGGGATGGGAATTGATAAGATTTCATTGATACCAATGCCATTATTGAGTTTGCTTATCAATGCAACCCTTTATCAGTTCCCTTATTGATTCCTGAAAAACCTTCTGTGTGAAAGAGAGATAGGCCTACACGGGTTCAGCATCAACACAACTGGACAACTGGATCTCTGAGTCCCATTCCTATCAGCATGATAACATTTGCTTATTAGCATTAAACACAAAGAAAAGTACAGCTAAGGTGAATGTAATTGATTTTGCAAATATTTCAACCAAATTGCTGGACAAATGAAAATATTGAACTGACAATGGTGCTAGATGAAAGGCCAGGAGATTAAAGTTATTACATTTCATCCTTAGGGGACCATGAATGTGTGTTACTGGACCCTAACCTAAATGTCACAGGAAGTCATACAATTTAGCATTGAAATCTCAGGGAGATTTATTTTTTGTTTCCTTTTTTATTTCCTTGTGAATCTGGAGCACATTAATTGTGTTTGATTACTATCACATCCAAGTAAGATTTATTCTATTGTTTTTCTTTTATTCTGATGTTTATTGAAAGTTGCCACAGTCTTTACTTGGCGTGACTGGCATCTGCTGTAAGGGGGATCATATATTGCTTCATAAGCTTTAATGTGCCGCTTTAATACAAGAAACATTTAAGATTCCTTCATGCTTCCAAAAATGTCATGAGAGTTTATGTTTCTCAGAGGATAATAGTTCAGTACAATAAATAAAATACAGATCATTGTGTAATAAATATACTGACAGTTGTATTTTACTAATTCAGTGCGACTGCTTTAACATAGAAGTCTGTTTTGTCTCACCACTCACAGATGGTTATGTGTCCAGGTCTCTTCTTCTTCCAATGTAAGTGAAGTTGTAAAAAATTCTATTTTACAAATCTAACATAGTATGAATCTTTTCATTTAATCTGCAATTAATTTTGTTCTCATCCACAATTACAGCAAAGTAAATTTTGACTTCATGTTAACAAGTTTAAGGTTTTATATCAACAGAAAACATTTTCTGCAGTTAGTTAAACATCAGTCTTTCTCTACAGGGAAGGAGACATTTACGACGACGTTGACTATGCAGGCGGTGAGTTATCTTTGAATCTGCATGTTCTGTCATGAAAGCCATGTAAACTGTATCACTGTAATTAACAGTGTAATCTGAAATATTCACTTTTGAAAACCTATACATTTGTCTGACTTTTGAATTCATTTTTTATGGACATTTTGTCTTTCTTTTTTATTTCAGACGTCTACGACAACGACTCTACACACTGATTATTAAAACATGTCAAACTAAACACACACTCACACAGAAGAATATAGACAGACTAAATGAACAAACTATATAACACCATTATTAACAAACTATATAAAAGTTACAAACTAAAACTTAGGCTACATCCACACTATAACCTTTTCATTTTAAAACACACAACTATTTCTACGTTCATGCCTAGTGTCCACACTGCTCCAGCATTTTGGAACTGCTAAAACGGAGACCTTTGAAAACGCTGCTGACCCCACTTTAGTTTGAAAACTCCAGGGATGGGTTTTAGTCTAGGTGGACAGAAAAGGATACCTTTGACAAATGATAAGGACGCAGATATCAACATTTGTTTCCTGGTTGGCTCTTAGTCACAACAAGCCAGAAAAATTATAGCAAGATCTACATACCTTATGTGATTTCAACTTTCTTGTGTGGGTTCCCCTTTTCCATCATCATGGCTTCCAAGTAAAGAAATCCCAGGTCTTACTTTTCTCCATCTCCGCAGTGTTTTGCGGAACTAACTACTCCTTCCTGTTTACCCCTGCACTTACAGTACATGCCTAGTGTACGTGAATGTTCATGTGATATGCGGGATTATTTCTGGAACAGTGCTAAAACGTTTGTGTGTACAGAGACCGTTTTCATTTTTTCATGCTGTTCTAAAATTTAAATGTATTAGTGTGGATGTGGCCTCAAACTATGTGACAGAGGATTCAAACACAGCCTGAGCTCTCGGGGTCACAAACACACAAACTATGTAACTATCTAACTATAAAAACTATATAAAACTAGAACTGTGTACTATATAACTAAAACTATACAAAACTATATAAAACTGAGGGACAAAAACAGATAATAGAGTGAACACACACACACACACACACACTGTGCTGAGAATAACAAACTTATCATCATTGCATTGTTTGTCAGACTGCTTGTATAGAAAGTGAATACACTATTACTGTAGCTTTGTGTATTGCTTCATGTCTGGGATAATTTAAAATAAATGATTTTTTTTTTTACTGGTACGTGTGTCCTTTTTTTAATTGACTTTTTCTCGCGTTTTTTAAAAATAAAATAGAGCAGTGCTTAACCACTTGAAATGTGATGTTTAGTAAAGTGAAAGAAGAGTTAAATGAAGGAATAAGGCAGATGAGGGCACCCAGTGGCTTAGTGGGTAGAGCAGGTGTCCTATATGCAAAGGCAATGTCATTGCTGCAGTGGCTGAGGGTTGTGGGTCCAGTTCAAGCCTGCTGCATATCTCCTTATCCTTCCTGACTGATTCTTCTCTAGTTTTCTGTTCTGCTGGTGTCCTTGTCACTACTGGTAGCATACCTGCAGACTGAGCAGGTTGCACAGGTAGTCCAGCTCTTCCAGGATGGCACATCCATATGTGCAGGCGAAGAGGATTTGCTGCGTCTCCCAGCACAGTCTCAAGAGCATGGAGGAGATACCAGGAGACTGGCCGTAACACGAGGAGAGCTGGACTGGGCCATAGAAGGGCATCAACCCAGCAGCAGGACCAGTATCTGCTCCTCTGTGCAAGGAGGAACAGGAGGAGCACTGCCAGAGCCCTACAAAATGACCTCCAGCATGGTACTGGTGTGCATGTGTCAGAAACATTAGGCTGGCATAGGGCCCTGTGGTCCCTCGACTGGGACCTGTGCTCACAGCCCAGCACCGTGCAGCTCCATCATTCACCAGAGAACACCAGAATTAGAAGGTCCCCCACTGGCGCCCTGTTCTCTTCACAGATGAGAGCATGTTCACACTGAGCACATGTGACAGACGTGACAGAGTCTGGAGACGCCATGGTGAACGTTATTGCTGCCTGTAACATCATCCAGCATGACCAGTTTGGTGGTGGGTCAGTGATGGTGTGGGGAGGCACATTCTTGAAGGGTTGCACAGTCCTCCATGTCATAGCCAACAGTACCCTGACTGCTGTTAGGTACCAGGATGAAAACCTCAGAGTGACTGTCAGACCTTATGCTGGTGCAGTGGGCCCTGGGTCCCTCCTGGTGCAGCGGGCCCTGGGTTCCTCCTGGTGCAGGACAATGCCCGGCCTCATGTGGCCGAGTGTGTGGGCAGTTCCTGGATTATGAAGGCAATGATGCCATTGACTGGCCCTCTCGTTCTCCTGACCTAAATCCAGCTGAGCACCTATGAGACGTTATGTTTTGGTGCATCTGACGCCACCAGGACCACCACAGACTGTCCAGGAGCTCACTGATGCCCTGATCCAGGTCTGGGAGGAGATCCCCCACAATACAATCCGTTGACGCATCAGGAGCATGCCCAGAAGTTATTGGGAGTGCAAATAGGCACATCGGGGCCATACATGTTACTGGGTTACATTATGAGTTGCTGTGATGAAATTCACATGAGTGGGATCAGCCTTTGATTTAAATTTTTTACTTTGATTTTTGGTGTGATATTGAATCCAGCCCTCAGTGGGCTCAGTGTTACTATAATTTTTTTAGCAGTATTTTTTTAAAAAAAAAAAAACATTATAACATTAATAATAACAAGTATCACATCACAAAGATTTGTTTCTCAGAAATGTTATTTATTTGTTTTTTATAATGTCCCTTGTCATCGACATCAAGTTGATTTTTCCCACAAAAAAACAGATTACCCACTACATTTATATTAATATGATTAAATTCACTTTTATGAAACATAATATTAAAGGAAGGCCTACTGTGCATGTTGTTAAAGGAAAACTTCACCCCCATATGATTTGTATGTCAATTACTCATCCCATGTTACAGTAGATTTGGGAAAAAAACTTAGTTTAACTTGCACGTCTCCATGTTGAATGAAAAAGGTGAACATTCTTGATTAATTGAAGTCATATGGGGCTGCGTTTAACACTAGCAAAACTACATCAAAACATTTGTTTACTAAGTCCTACACAACTTGTGCAGTGTACTGTAATCTAAGTCTCATTCATTTTTTTCCCCCACTATTATTTTCCCCCCATTATTTATTGATTTTTTCCCCACCCCTAAACCATACCAGTGCTGTTTCTAATGTCAGAGTGATCTACTCTTGTTCATTTTATTTATTTATTTTTCATTTCTTTTAATTTTACTTATGATAGTTAAGTATAGTTTGATACTATTTGCTTGGTGCTTTTTCTTTTCTTTTTTTTAATGCAGGACTTTTACTTGTAACAGAATGTTTTTACAGTGTGGTATTTCTATTTTTATTTAAATAAAAAATCTAAATACATCTTCCACCTCTGTATTATAGGCTACCTAACCCTCTGGGAGAAAAACACCACAGCAAAGCAACCCAAGAATGTATAAAGATCTTTCACAGCCTGAGGAAACAGATTTTATTTGTACTTAATATTAATTCGTAAACTAAAACTTTAATGTAAAGCTGCAGAAAACATTATGTTCTATAATATTTTTATTGTATTCAGTGAAATAGATACATAGGCTATGATTGTTAAAGCAGAAACTCAGTTGCCCGAACAGAGGAGGGCAGCAACACACCGTTGTGAGAGGATGTTTGAATCGGTGATCAACTAGTTGAGTCTATCTGTACAAAGTCCAGCTGATAACTGCAGAGGAGATGTTGTGCAGGAGCTTCATATTTAAGTGTTTATTTATCGTGTAGTGTCTTTGTGAGAGTGTTTGAGCAGCGGGCAGACAGACAGACAGACAGACAGACATGCAGCCGTCATTGGAGTCTCTGGTCAGACTGCTGGAGTCTTACAGAGGAAGAGATAAAGTTGTAAGTAACTCATGTTGTTAAATATTGAAATGATGAGGGGTGCACGTGAACACATCACCGGTATCCTCTCTAGTAGGTGATAGTTCACTGGTTTTATATTAGTCTCTGTTTTATATTCCATCCATTCAACCTCAGGGTGTTTGACACGAAAGCAGAATCTAACCACAGTAGCCTGCACATTAGGAGTGCTTTTTGCAGCCTACTCTTTTGTGTGTCATTTTGCTGTGTGACATATGTTAAGATAAAATAAGCCTTAATAGAGAGAAATTCCGTTGTTGCAGCAGCACAAGTACAGAAATCAAATGAATAGATAAAGTAAAAAAAAAAAGAAAAGAAATCATAATATGAGGTTTAAAAAACAATAACGATTGAGGGAAAAACTGAAACGAGCAAAATTGACAGATGTGTGATTAACAGCAGCAGAGTCAACAAGTCTATGTCAACAGTATACACCAGACTAATATATGATAGAACTATAATTATAGCTGCTGCGCATCGGGTCAGGTCCGGGCATTTTTAGGCAATTCTGAGCAACAAGCAGAAGAATTGGAAGACATTTAGGAATTTAGCAACAAAATCTGCCGAGTGCGGTAAAGTTGGAAAGATATTGGCAGATTCGAACTTCCGGGATCAGTAACTCTTAAGTGAAACGTTGTTAAAACACAAAACACACATATTTTCAATCGTAGTAAGATAGACAACGAGCTACAACATAATATTCATCAAAATGAGCCGTCCTCTGAGCCACACCAAGAACATTGGTGTTTACGTGCAGCCGGCTTTGAGCACAGCGCGCAGGGACCGTCTACAAAGTGCAACACCGAAAAGAGATATTACAAAAATATTCAGTAACGTCACTATAATACAGTGTAGTGTCACCAAACTCACTCCACACTTCATTGGTCTCCTACAGAGTACACTACAACACTT